ATAATAAAGCTTCTGTTTTATTTTCCTAAGTATAGAAAATTTCTACTAAGTTACAAGTTACAGCTGCTTAAATTTTTGAAATACTGTGACAGTTTTAGGAAAACAAAACCTACTGATGTCAATTAAAAAAACTGACTTTATTCTTAAGGGTTTCCAATAAAAAGAATATAATACTTGAATATTCTTGACTAACATAATCACTAATATAAATAACATTATGATGAGATTTTATATGCTCAGCCAACCTGATGAGCTCTGGTATTGAGCGAAAAGTCTTGATGGCAGCATGGTATGCATCATACAAGGTGCATGATTGAGATACCATTACATTCTTCTTCAGGAAACCCTACAGGTCCAGTAAAGACTTGTAATAAATAATCAGCAGTCTTTATAGTAAAGTAATGTGACAAAAACTCCAGTCTATAGACCACACTTAGCTGACATAAAGAGTTATGTACTATAATAACTTTTTCAGAATGTTAGGATTCTTAAGCAACCTCTAAAAGCATCTAAATAAAAAAAAGTAGTAGAGTACTAAAGTAACAAAACTTTTTCTGTGATCTCACACAAGTGATAAATGCAACTGGAAGACACTCATGACAAAAGAATGCAAGAGCATTAAGCATGTTTAAGGAGGGAAGAAAGACCATAAACAGAAGAGTAACAGATCTTAACCTAAAAGAACTGTATGCTGAATATAAATTAAAAGGGAACTCCTTTTTTTTTTTTCTAAATTCTTAATATTGAGACCTTATTGACACATTTTTGTAGGTACAAAAGATGCATACATTGTGTATATTTGAGCCTGTCACCGGAAACCACAGTTGCTGATATCTTCTCCAACTGAAATACCAAGTTTCACTGAAAGAATTAATGAGAAAAACTGTGTGTAGTCTGGAATTAGAAAATTACATGGTTAGGAAGTGATCAAGAAGGAAGAGGGTTTGAAATTATAGCATACTAACCTCCAGGATAAGGTGCACTACAAGCATTACATAGAGTAAAGCTGGATCAAATAAACATGCTAACAAAATAGTGGAACTAACAAAACATATTCTCACTACAAAGGCTCAATCCAGTTACCAGTAACCTCTGAAAGAAAATTTGATTGCCTCTGAAGCCAACACCTGAGAATTATTTTTTCACAGTCCAAGATTAGGTCTAAATTTTCTTCTGAGAAAATCCCCAAACTTCACTCCTTTTGTTGTTGTTTACTGCTGCTCATAAAACAGAAAAATGTACAACACTATATCATTAATTGATGAATACCATTGACACATGTTTATTTCTGAAATTATTGCTTCTTTGAAGCAGAAAATCCAAACTAATGTTTCTGTTTGTTTTTATTTAGTTGTAATTTTCATCTACTTTTACTTTAATTTGATGGTAAACTAAGAAAATGAATATCACTGTCCGTAATGAAAGATATCTTTTGTTAATTATGGTATTCCCTGAAAACTTGTTGATGCTTTTGAACTATACCAAGGTGCAGAAAGAAAAGTATCAGTGATAATACTACATAAAATCTATGTAGAACCTAAATTATATATCAAGCTTATATAAGTTAATAATAATAATAATCCTACAAGACCTTTAGTAAAATTTTAGGATTCAATTAAAAAGTTATAGATTGTTTCACCTTCTTTTTTAAAGATGACCAACCATCTCAGTTAATGCATCTAATATTAAACTCTTAACACAACAACTTCTTTCTTAGGCAAAATTTAATTTATCAAGAAATGTTTATATATCATCAAAAACCTCATAAAATTGAATCCATTGATATCAAGGTTCTTCATCCAAGTACTAGCTATCTTTAAATCAGTATAATTTCTTTTCTTAGTTTTTGTGTTATTTTTAATTAAACTAATTTCAAAATAAGGTCCTAGAACTCCAAGGTTTATCTTAAATTTATATCCAGCTTTTTTTATGCATAATTTAGATGGCTTAGAGGATGATTAATAATCTCAATAAGCCAAGTGGCCTTCTAACCCCCTTAATAATTCTAGTTTCTGATACAATACTTACCTCTTCTCATAGATAGCTTTTCTTGATCTTCCACTGCCCTCTAATGCATTGAAAAGAAATTTTTCTCACTTGATGCACTAGTCTTTATACTCCACAAGTTTGAGCTGCTCATTTCACATGCATAGATCATGCAACAATCCTCCACGAATAGGAGCACAATATGTTACCCTAGAGCAGCTGGATCCCTCTGTACTACTTTACGTGAACCTCACTTTCTCGATTGGCACAAGATGAGTCTGACATGTTTCTTGATTGTTTTCAGTTTTTTTTTTCTTTTCCCACCATTTCGTATTTTGTTCATCTTTATGAATAATTTTACTTCACGATTTCTTTCATTCAGGTGTGTTACTGCTTTTTATTACTATTTTCTCACAATGTATTAAGAATTTTGAATTCACAGTTTACCATAATTACCACCATCATTTCTGAAGCTAATGGTAGCACACACACACACACACACACACACACACACACACACA